TGATAAATTTATACTTCCTCAGCTTCTTAACTCTGTTACCCCAAGGCATAAAGTTGTAAGTATAGCTGGACAAATCCCAACTATTTTTTTTTTTTAACACTTCAGAAATGAAAACCGGTATCCAGGTAAGATTCTAATTTAGGTCTGGATCCATATTTGAGATGTCTCTATACTTCTACCCCACTCATACCAAGAAAATTATGTGCTGTATTTGCAGAAGCCAAATGGTGTTGGGTCATATTAGGTAATTTGGTTGCAAAATAACCAAGAGCTGGTTAACATTACCCCCGCTTTTCCTGAGGTAGGAGCAATATTGGAAGTTACCAGAAGATGGTCCCGTGATGAACTAGGAGTAATATTGTTGTTTTAACAATATTAATTCTTCCAATCCATGAGCATGGACTATCTTTCCATTATTTTTTGTCCTCTTCAATTTCTTTCATCAGTATTTTATAGCTTTCCTTGTGTGGACCTTTCACATTTTTGTTTAAATTGATCCTTAGGTGTTTTATATTCTTTGTACCTACTGTAAATGAGATTGCTTTCTTGATTTCTTTTTGAGATTGTTCACTGTTGGTGTATATAAATGCTACTGATTTTAGTATGTTAAGTTGCAGGATACAAAATCAACTGAATCCGTTTATTAATTCTAATGGTTTTTAGCAGAGTCTTCAGGATTTTCTAAACATAAGATTATGTCATCTATATACAAGGCTAATTTGACTTTTTCCTTTTCAGTTTTGATGCCCTTCATTTCTTTCTCTTGCCTGATTGCTCTGGCCAGGACTTCCAGTATTACCTTGAATAAAAGTGGTGAAAGTGGGCATCCTTATTCCAGATCTTAGAGGAAAGGCCTTCCATTTTTTCCCCATTCAATATGATGTTGGCTGTGGGTTTTTCATGTATGCCCTTTATTATTTTGAGGTATGTTCCTTCTATACCCAGTTTGTTGAGAGTTTTTATCATAAAGAAATGTTGAATTTTATCGAATGCTTTTTCAGCATCTATTAAAATGATCATATGGATTTTGTTCTGGATTCTGTTAATGTGATGTATCATATTTATTGGTTTGTATATGTTGACCCATCTGTACATCCGTGACATGAATCTCACTTGATCATGGTGAATGATCTTTTTAAGGTGTTGTTGAATTTGGTTTGCTAGCATTTTGTTGAGGATTTTTGCATCTATGTTTATTAGTGATATTGGCATGTAGTTTTCTCTTTTTGTTGTGTCCTTGTCTGACTTTGGTACCGGACTAATGCTGGCCTCGAAGAGTGAGTTTGGAAGCATTCCCTCCTCTTCAGTTTTTGGAAGAGTTTGAGTAGAATTGGTATTAATTCTTCTTTAAATATTTGGTAGAATTCAGCAGTAAAGCCATCAGGTGCTGGACTTTTCTTTGATGGGAAACTTTTTATTACTGCTTTGATCTCATTACTTGATATTGGTTTGTTGAGGTTTTTTATTTCTTCATGGTTCAATCTTGTTTGTATCTATGAATTTATCCATTTCATCTAGGTTTTCCAATTTATTGGCATATACTTGTTAAAAATAGTCTCCAAGGGATTCTTTGTATTTTTGTGATCTCCATTATGTCCCCTTTTTCATTTCTGGTTTTATTTATTTGAGTCTTATCTTTTTCCTTTATTCCTTTATTCATTTCCTTAATTCCTTGGGATTACAGGCACGTGCCACCATGCCTGACTAATTTTTAAATTTTTTGTAGAGACAGGGTCTCACTCTTGCCTAGCTTGGTCTCAAACTTCTGTCCTCAAATGATCCGCCTGCCTCGGTCTCCCAAAGTGCTGGGATTACAGGCATGAGCCACCACACCCAGCTGGTGACATCTTTTTATCAGTGGTACTTAAAATAATGATGGACTTTAGAGTAGGTGACATCATAGATTTCAATAACTAATAGTAGATAAGATATTGATTAATGTTAGCTATCATCGGCGTTATCATCAGTGTTGTCATCATTATCTTGCTTATTACCAAGATAGTAGCATTTGATGGTTTAGCAGTGCTAGCCTAGAGCACACAAATTGATCAAATCTCAATTTCATCTAACTACTTGTTTCTGTTGGTGTGTTTTGAGAAAAGATCTCTTGAGCTTTTTTCATGTTTGTTTCATTTTAGCTAATGTATTTATGGGGTCAGTTCATGCAACGTTTACATTATTCACTGAACCATACTTGGGTAGCTACTAAAATGTTCTTCATTGCCCTTCAGTTTCTTGAAATAGAAAAGAATTATTTATTTTCTCTATTGATATATTTTCCTAAATCCTTTTGAAAAAGTGCTTTTTCTCTTAGCTAGCAGAACTAAACCACCATTGTACCATTTAAGATTTACTGGTTTGCGCTGTCCTCTGGGGGAGAAAAGAAGCAGTTTATTGATCTGTGACAGAGGAATGGATCATGGCCAAACCTTTTCTGGTCTATACAATGCACTGACATAAGAATCTGCATATCATTAAGAAGAACGAATCCTCACAATTTGAGGCCACCTGCCACACATGAAGAATAACTGGGAAAAATCTATACAGAATATACAACTGTTCTCTTTGCGCTGACACTGCCAGGATCCACACCCAGTGACAGTGTCTCGTTATTTTATCGGTGATATGCTTGTAATTCCTAATTTTAGGCTGCTTCCTTATTTTGATTTTATTGTTCAGTTAGAGGGAAGGTGGGAGAAACCAATTTGAATTTGGGATTAAAGATCCTCTGCCAGGTGAAAGAGGTTCAATAGCAGGAGAGAACCTTGGGCCAAAGTTTATAAAGCCTGACTAGGAAGATTCTGGGCACATCTCCATCCAAATACCTTGACACATACTTCATTCATCCATAGCACATGCAGCTTGTCCCTTCTTGTCTTCTGTTTGCCCTCAAGATTTTAAGTGGTGGTATTTACAAGCTATTATACAGAAGCAAGAGTAGAAACACACAAGTTCCACGCCGTGGACCTGAAGCAATACCTCTGTTTCCAAGAGAATGTCAGGCCATTGCCCCACCGTCAGAGAGATTAGAGCCATCCTGTTCCCCTGGTGCTGCCAGCCGGAGACTGGGAGTCAGCGGGCAGTGGAAGGTTTAGAATCTGGTCTCTCCAGGTGGAGGAGTACTAGTCACTGTAGCTAAAAAAAAAAAAAAAAAAAAAAAAAAACCATGCAGGGAAGTGTGCTTGTCAGAAGCAGCCTGTAAAAGGAAAAAAGGGATCGTTTTGAGTTTGCACTGAGTTATTTTCACAGTAGTTCGCTTTAGCTTTGAACTGTGGGGCAAGCCCATTTAAACAATGAGGAAAATTTCACTAGCTAAGCAGCAAGAAATTCTCACCCTGTGTGATCACAGTGATCAGCCATTTCCTTTTCCTTCCTTTTTATTTGCTTACATTTCTGACCCCTAATATTAATAATCTCCATGACTGTGGCCTGGTCGTTTCCTTTTGCATAGCATTTTTTTAATAACTTTTCTATTCCCGGATGGTTTTAAAGCAAATAAAACCAACATTGACAGAAATGGTCTAAATATTTCTTTTTAATAATTATTATTACAAAAGTAACAAAGGAGCTAAAATCATCCATAATTTCTTTTTACCCAGGGGCAACCACAATGAGCATTTTGTTGTATTTACTTCTAATTGTTTAAATTAAATGTGTAAACGTGTATATTTTTAATAGAATTGGATTTAGGATAGCATACAGTTCTGTTTTCTTTTAATCAACATGCGTTGAGTTTTTTACCATATTATTTAAAAACTGCTACATGATTTCAGTGGCTAAATTAGAATCTAGTATATACAGATATTATTTTAGCATTCTCCTGTTGTTAGGAGGTAATGTGGGTGTCAGAATTAACACTTTAATTCTCAGGTTAGAATTTGTTTAGCTCAAGTTCTTCTGATTTCATGAGTGTAGAGTTAGACTTTGCGCACAGTGGAAATGGAACATTTCTATATGTACCGTTTGCTTTTTTTGCCAATATTTTTCAGAAGACATTTACAAAAAGCAAAGGTGGGAACAGTGTTCTTTTCTGTTTTTTTTTTTTCTTCTTGGTTTTGTTGTTTTAAATTTCGTGATTGTAATGTCTTATTGTAGTAATTTCAATTGGGAAAAAAAACAACAAAACTTCAATGGATAGGAAATTGCTTTGAAATCCTAGTTAACTAGGCAACTTGCTCCTATCTATCCATTATTAAAAAAGAAATAAAAATTAGTTTGAGGTATTTAAAAGTTCAGGTAAATAGCAAATCAATATAAAATCAGGGCCCAAAATGGACCCTAATGTTTCAAAACTGTGTGCCATGCTATGTCATTTAAAGTTTATCCAACAAGACAGTGGGAGATACTGAAGATTTTTTTTCTTTTAAGAGGAGGACTGACTGAATTGTATTTGTTTTAGACAGCTGATTGCATGTGAGAAAGGTGGTGTTGGTAGAAAGATTTGAGATATTGCAAAAGAATTTCCATGAAGTTAATCTTTTCAAAAATGTAAACATTTGGGGCAAGATATTCCTTTGAAATTGCAGTCGAATAAAGGAAACTTTAGAACCGACATTTGGAAAGGAAGATAAGCTTAAAAACCAAAAATAGTTTGTGGAGTGCTACAGAATGATACACATTAGGAGGCCATTTGTATTTAAAGACCACGGCCCTAATACATTTCTGGAGAAGCAGTTTTGTTTCCCATAGGGTATTATGTTTAGAGACATAGCACCTTTCAGCACCTGTCCACTGGTGGGTGCATCATGGTGTTGTCTCTCTTGATCCTGAATGGCCAGGTCCAGCGCGGTCTCCCCCATTCTGATTTGCTCTCTCCATTAGCAGTCATCTTTGTAAACAGAAGTCTAAGATTTAGTGTTGTACATATTTTTAAACGATCCATTTTGATGGGGCTCTCTTTATTGTTTCAGGTTGAATGCGCTTGGGAACTTGATGAATAAAATTTGCACAACTCCTCACTCCTTTCACTCCTTTCTGGATCTGTCATTGGATTTGAGCCGGCATGGCTCACACCGCAAAGGTTAACGGCTGTGCCTCAGGTAACTGTGCTCTGGAGTGTGTGTCTGTATTAAGTGTATGTTTTTGCTTCAATTAATTTTTATTTCTCTTTTAATAATGGATAATAGTAAGTTGCCTAGATAACTAGGATTTCAAAGCAATTTTCTATCCATTGAAGTTTTGTTGGTTTTTTTAAAATTCTTTCAGAAAATTTACTTTTATCTTAGAGTCTTTATGTGCTGAAATCAGGTTATTATCTAAGTCAATTTTATTGATGTGTTGAAAGATAAATATAAAATCCTGAATGCTGATGCCAGTATAATGTATACTCCTCTTATACTTCTTTCTGAGGGATTGAATGAGGAAAGAGGAAATGAGTTTGGTTGGTTAAAACCAATTCCTGGTATCCAGTCCCAGGCAGCTTTTGTTTGATGTTGCTAAACAAAGAGGAAGGGAAGGGGATAGAGAAGAGTATATTCTGTAAAGTGATTCTCCCAGAGAGGAATATGCAAGAAGTCATATTATGAATCATGAAGGACCCGTATTCTAATTCTTTCTTTGGGTATATTAGAGACTTACGTAGTTTGAATATCTATTCCAATACTGCTTATGCAAGATTTGGGAGAAATTTTTTGAAGAAATATGGAGAAAATCCTCCTAACAGTTGGTCAATGACCAGAGGTGACAGCCTGTCCAAAATAGCATACCAAGTGTTCATTCCTCATTTGAGCTATCTGCCAGATAGCTGAATGGATGAGAGCAGTAATGGTCTCTGTGGAAATTTTTTCTGGGCACCCTGGGTCCAGGATCCTAGCTCTGCTGACTCAGAACACCCTCAAATGGCAACATTATACACTGGAGGGAGTGTTACATTAGAGCAAATATACCTGACTTAGAGTCCCAGAACTAACTGTGAAATACTGGGCAGGGCTATTTCTCCACAGGTAAAACATTGGTTAAGTATGTCCACTTGCAGATTTAGGACCAATGAGAGCACCAGAAACGTACTTACTGGTGCCATGTACACTATAAAGCACTTTTAAAGACAACAGAAGGAGAAAGAGACCTTTGAAGTGTACATTCCCAGCCCATGTACATGACTTTTTATTCCAGCAATCTCAGCTGCAAGATCCCCTCTGGCAAGGACACTATAGCTTGCCCAAATGCAAACTCAAATAAACTCAGTTCTTTATTTTGAGACAAACTGATTTTTCCCCGTCCGTCCTTTTGTTTGACCTTTTTACTACACAACTCGAGACTTGTGGATTCTGCTCAGGGAGTGCTGTCATTAATAAAAATATGAATGACGACATCTAACATCGATCAAGCACATACTATGCACCATGGTGCCTAAAATGCTTTGCCTGCACTATCATACTTAATCCTTGCAATAATCCCATGAGATTATGCTATCATCAACATCCTCATCATCATCATCATGTCTGTGTGATGGCACAGAGAAGTTCAGTAATTTACCTAAATGAAATAAGAAAAACCAGGATGATTATTTGTTTCTCTAGTGGAATAGTTGATAAGGGAGGAGATTGAAACGTGAAATTTTGAGTGCAGTGAGTGTGTGTTTCAGTCCCCTCGGTGCTGTGGTTTCCCTTCCTCTCCTCTGCTTGCTTCAACTCACACGCCCGGGGAAGGGGTGCTTGACAGTGTTGGTGCCTCAGGACCTGGACCCTCTGGTGTCTCTGGCAAAATCCTGTCTTCAGGGATTTAGATACCTGCCCCATTTGCCCCTAATTCCTTTTGCAACTTGGCTTGTCTTGTACTCCCCTTTTTGCTTTGTTCCTAAGGTCTCAGGATCCAGCTATAACTTTTTCTTCTCACCTTGTGTCCTGCCTGTCAGATCTGCGCATCGAGTTTGAAAGCAAAAGAAAGCTCTCTGATTTGTGATTTCCAGGGTGTCAGGGTATAAATTATTACTGCAGAAGGTGTCTGGACTGGGCAAAGGAAGGTTTTTGCTTGTTTTGGTCACCATGACCCCTATAAGCAAATCTGATTAGAGGCTCAGTCATAAACATTTATGTATATACACACACAGACACACACACACAGACACACGCGTAGTCATACATATATACATACACCCGTTGAAATGTTGCAAAGGTATTGGAAGTGAATTAGTAAAGTCTTGAATGATTAGACTGTGCAGGGGTGGGGAACCTGCAGCCTTAAAGCCACATGTGGCCTTTTAGGTCCTTAAGTGTGGCCTTTTGACTGAATCCAAATTTTACAGAACAAATCATTTTATTGAAAGGGTGCAGCAAAAAAAAAAAAAAGAAAGAAAGAAAGGGTGCAGCAGAGAAAGATGAAGCTTGTCTTGCCTCCTTTGGTGCTCAAAAAACAACAATCTTGAAATCAGAAGGCTGCAGGTTCCCCACCCCTGCCAGGAAACCATGTAATGTGTTTTAGAAAGATTTGTATTCAAAATAATTACAGAGCTATTTATTTTGTAACTGAGCTAGGTGAAATGAAATGGAAATTAAGGGCTTCACATTTGTTACTCTCTCAATGGCTATGGATAGACAAAATGTTTTTCCAGCATTTACTGTGAAATGGAAAATTTTCAAGAAATACTTCTGTGTAATTAAAAAACATGATATCAGTCACAAATGTGCCTCAATAAAATTTGAAATCAAAACTCTGACCCATTTTAAAAAAATTAAAAAAAAAAAATAACCAGGTGCCTACTATGTGCCAGGTATTATTTTAGGTACTGGGGTATATAACTGTGAACAAAACAGGCAAAAATGCCTGCTCTCAAGGATTGTACATTCTAGTGAAAGTTGAGGTCTCCTGTATACCGTTGCCAGGTAAAATAAAGGGCATACTTATTCTCAAAAGGTATTGATTGTTTATGTGCAATTCAATATCACTGGGTGTTCTTTTTTATTTACTAAACCTGGCAGCCCTCCCTGTGTACACCTTCCAGACGGCATCCCCTCCTTACCACCCTTCCCCCGGCACTGTCAGCTATCCGTCAGTGTTTCTTTTTCACCAGACCAGGTCCTCCATCCTACTTCTGTTGACTGGCACGATTTTGTTTTCATTAATTTAAAACATTTTATTATGGCATTGCTAACAGTACCATAATGTCTCTTGTTCATGTAATGAGATAAGAGCATCATAAAATGCTCTTGACTGTTCTCTTATAGCTCTCTAGAAGCAAATGGAGATCATTAGTTAGGAAAACAGCTGTATTTCCCTGGGGTTTAGGGATGAGGACATTCTGCTTTAACCCCAAGTTTCTGAATCATGTTGTAAACTGTATGCACTGATTGATACCTCTTTAAACACTAATTAATGTTGTGAAACTTTAATTAGAGCTTAGAATTGCTTTAGAACCCAAATAACAAAGTGGCTCATTTGTCAGATGAAGATAATAGTAGCTGTCCTACCTTCTCACAAGGTTGTTGTGAGGAAAAGAGTAAAGTAATAGCTGTAAAAACACTTTTTAAAACATACAGTGCTGGTCAAATGTCAGGGATAGCACCATTCTCCTTGTTCTCTTGTCCGTGTCATAAGCTCCTGATCTAGTAAACACCTGCTTAGGTACAGGTACCCTCATGTCAGGCCCTGCTGGCTGCCGTGACATTGGGGCAAGAACTGTATTACTGTCCTCATTTAACAGTTCAATGAAATAAATAGGTGAGCACTATGAAGTGACTTTGTACATCTGCTATTACATTTTTTGCTAATAGTTGCCTTTGCCAGTTTATTATAGCTGTCCCCTCTTGCTATTCCTTTTTCAGAGAGATACATATTTATTTAAGGTGCTTATTGAACTGCATTAAAATTTTTTCAATTTAAATTAACATTCATGAAATGTGATAGGAAAACAGAAGGGAAGCATTACTCAAAATTCCACACAAGATCTTATTTTTAATATTTCCTTTTCATACTTGTCAGATTAGCAGACTTAAACAGTTTCAGTAAGTTTTTCATATACTTTGGTATTCAGCTTTTGGCTTTAACACTCTTTGCATTTTTATAAGTCTTCATGGAAAACATAGTTTTCAAATTAATATTTTTGATGAGTATGTAATATTCCTCAGTGTATTTCTAGCAGTTCAATTACTCTTTTTTCCTTTGAACGTTTGGACTGCTTCCAGATTTTCCCCGTTGTAGATAACTACGCAGAGAACATCCTCCTGCCTGGGCACTTTTCTCCTCCTCTTTGATTATTTCCTGATTACAATTTCACAGAAACAGGAAAACGGGGTTAAAGGGCACAACTGTTTTCACAGCTCTGCTAACGTATGGGGCTTCAATCTTGTTCCTTTGGTCAGTTATTTGGTTCCAGGTTTTGTCTCTGTGCTCCTCTCAAATGGAGGTACAAAGGCCACCGATAAGGCTGGGTCAATCAGACAGTGCCAAAGACTCGTGGCCGAGCAGGCAGAGCGCTGCACTACTCTGCAGTCTCGGTTGTGTAAATATTTTTTCTGGGCAAGAGCATTTCTCAAACAGAACTCTGAGCCCTCTGTGGTGAACCTGACAGCAGGAATTACGTGCTGTTTGTCAAGTATAAGACTAGTTTGCACTGACCAGTCTGTCTGTCTGGAACCAACCTGGTGTTTCCTGAGACCATCTGTAAGGAAAGGACACAGAGCAGCACAGTGGGGGCCGTGTGTTCGTGGCGGTGAGTCTTAGACCTGTTGTCTGTTAGCGTTACCCCGAAGGTAGAGAGTGAGTTGATTAGAAACGGGGGCGGCTTAATTCATGGGTGCCTTCCTTGACTTTCCAGAGTCTCCTGATTGAATTTGCAAAAGGATTAAAATGTGTGTTCTTATTTGTACTTGGTATTCTCCTATGGGTAGTGTGTTCAGGACCGTCAGAAGAGCTGCCGAGGGTAAAACAAGTTGCCTAACATAAAAACATAGGTAAGAGTTAGAGGGGGATCTTTCCAATTTCAGTTGTCCAGCCTCCCTTCCCTGCTCTCAGATGTCAAAACACACAACTTGCTGAGCTCACACCGTTAGTTAATGGCTAAGCCAGAAGTTGGACATGGAGAGCCTTTTTCCTTTGTTCAAGT